TTTTATTTGGCAAGGCTATTTAGAATAAATAGTAGAGATCAACTCACACTAAGTTACGCATATAGCAGAGAGAAAACCATGACTGAGGGTGGAGGAAATAAGAAATGGTAGAGGAAGACGTGGGGGAGGGGGGTTTAGCTAGGTACCAAGGTTTTAGTTTTGTTTTAGGCCATATAGATTTTCAGAAATCAGACAAAGCTTCAAACAGTTTATTAGTTAAGTAAGTATGCATTGTTTACAATACTTGAGATATATAAGTTAACATAACATATATGTGTCATGCAGATAGTAAATCAAAACAAATTGAGTTAAGTTATTACATAACTCTGTGAACATACTAGTAATGTCAGGTGAAACTGTCAGTTCAACAACCAAAATCACTGGGATTGAGATAACAAGCAGACAACAACTGATAAGATAGAGCGAGCTATTCCATATGTTATTAATCTCATGTTGCAATTCCTTGCAGTACCCAAACGTGAAATGGATTTCCCTGTCCAAAGCACTCAGGTCGTCAAAACACAAAGTAGAACACGGTATTTTTACCCAGGCACTTGACTAACCAAAGTCTTAAACAAACCAAAAAGATAACTATGGATGGACTTAAAACTCATCTTTAAAAATGTTGAAGCCTAATTGATCAGGAAAATCATTTGATATGACATTTAACAAGGAAAAAGACGCATTTCCTACAGTTGGATGGACGAGTTAGCTATTATTCAACTACACCACGTAACATACAGACTAGCATTTATTATCATTATCCAATGAGATGGGGACCCCACTTAGGTGCTAATTTAACTCAAATATGAATAAAGGATGATTGTAGAAAGTGTGAGACGACATGCAGCTTGTTTCTTAAGATCATATGTTTCAATAGCCACGATCATTTATTTAAAGCCCAGTGATCAGGGGAGAGCTGGGTGCAGAGTTTCCGAACATGAAAAAGATTCTAGGCGTGTACTCAGGATTGATCCGGTATTGTTAGGCGAGGCCGAGCACTATGCACTCTGCTACCCAGCCAGTTATTGTAGCCATAGTTTTAAAGGGCTAAAAATACAACAGCACCCAAACAATCTTTTTGTAACCAATCTAGAGGATAGGAACCGAAATATAGTCAGATTATGGAAAGGTCAGCGACATTTGGTTTTGATAGATCATTAAGCTTAATTCAACAAAGGTCAGGAATTTTTAAGAAAATAAAAAAAAACAGGCCTACAGACATCAGTTAGGCCTACAGAACTTTCAAGAGCAGCCTTAAAACTTTGTTGTAAACTTGTTTGTAAAATGTTGTAAGACAAAATCCCAGTTTGATTCATTCACAAAGCTCTACTAACCTAATCTAAGTATTCATTCTCAAACGTATATTTCAAAGTTAATCAATTTTGCTAATAGTCAATGTTTAGTTTCGATTTACTGTAAGTTTACCAGTAACTTAGCCTAGTTCTTCAATCAACAATAGTTTTGTTTCTTTTCACCCACACGTATTAAAACTTGAAGTCACCGATTTCTCCCAAGGCGTAAAAAGGAAAGTGTGTGCAACCCGGAGGCGTAAACTCGTCCAGTTCGCACAGCTAACTTACATCACGTGGGGGCTGCACCGCTCACACAAATTGCTTGATGAACGTGTTTTTCGTTTACCTGACCATGCTTTATTACAATTTGATTTCAATAACGCAAGTTTTTTTTTTTTTTTTTTACGGGACAAGCTAACTTGAATTAAGTTTAAGTAACCAAACACTAACTAAGGCCTAAACTGGGGGAAAGTGAGTAGGCCTAAGTTAGTTCACAACTACACCAGTAACGTAGCCAGGATTTCAAAATAGGGGGGGTCGACCGACCGGGGAGTCACGGTAAAGGGGGGGGGGTCCGGGAAAATTTTTAAAAATATAGACCCTAAAACGGTCTTTTTTAGCTCTCTTGGCATTGAAAATAATCAATCCCAACGTCAATACAGTATGACTATATAATTCTACATTTAATTTAACAAAATATATTATATTTAAGACCAGAAGGGGGGGGTCCGGACCCCCAGGACCCCCCCCCTGGCTACGTCACTGACTACACTTGATGGATCCCTTCACTTAGCATAGGAGATGTGACATATAGGAGAGTTAAAGAGTCAGCAACGTTTCGGCTAAGTTTAAGGTTACAAGGTCAATAACCCAAAATCAAACTACAAATTCAGTTTTGTCGATCATGCGACTTGACCTTGGATCACATAGTCTACTTTAGAATTGATGGCGAGTTTTACAAGAACAGTAACTTACAGATGAGTTTCAAATTACATTAATCAAATCATGAGAATGATTGGACATCGAAATGTCGAATATTCCATCTTTAATGATTTTGTCTTCTGCTCACAAGAGACACCTCAAAATACGGGTTAGAATTTGTTGGAAAATATTGACGAGGATGAAAACCTCTTATTGACAGCGGATTGTCATAATTAAATTGAACTTACAAATAGATATTTAAAACTATATTTAACTATAATTAAATTTAAAATCATATAAAAATATTAATTTCAATAAATGACTAAACGGTTAACGAAAAATATCTGGGACAGGGGCGGTGCATTTTAAGCATAGGGGAACTGACGACATAGATTTAATATTACATAAGATTTATCAAGAATATACTTTTATCACTAGTTCATTCAACCAAAAACCAATTTTCCATAGCAAATGACAAGATTTTACCTTGAGAATTCGGAAGTCCAGCACCCACGTCCTGAATTTCAGCCATTTTACACCAATCACTTGCCAATTACCGAACAGAATTCTGGGTTCTAACTAAAAGTTCATATTCCCGAGTTCCCCTGCTAACGTTCCCCTCCGTGGCGGTTCATATTCCTTGTTCCTGAACTCAAACCCGACTGCATAAAAATTTTCAAACGAAACGAATGATCATTTTTTTCATATGGACACGAGGAACAGCACATGTATGTTTTATATATGACATAAGTTTTTGGAATAATGGAATGTGGTGTTTTTTTTACAGTATTTTGGTTTTAACTTCTGACAAAGCCCACATTCCTCAATCCTCGAATCCTCCCTCAGCGTCCAACCCAATGCTATGTCAGTGTTTCCATTCGCGGGATTATTATCCCGAAAACGGGATTTTTAGACCTTGAACGGGATGCGGGATAAAACGGGATTTTCGGCTGTGACGACTATTTTTATTTTTTTTCTACCCAATTTTAGAGAAAAACTAACTCAAATTGTTTGAATACTGTAGCAAAATATAATAGTGATGTTTAAAGAACTTATAAAAATGATACGTAAAGTTTAATACTAGGAATTGTACCAAAAAAATCATGCGGGATAAAACGGGATTTTTCACTGATTAAAAAGCGGGATAAAACGGGATTTTTCGACCCTGTAAGCGGGATTATTTTTTTGGTCGTATGGAAACACTGTGCTATGCTAGGAGGATTAAACATTAAGGAGAGGACACGCTGTAGTTTCGTTGAAGCCAGCGTACTGGGGAGGGGGGAGGCAGCACTACTTTCCCGCCCCCCTCTCATACTGCGCTGTATGCGTTACTGGAAGATTTGGTAACAGAAATGTCAATTAACTATTTAAAAATTAGACTTCATCATGCTACGAAAATTAAAAAGTCAAATTCTAACCGTAATATTAGGAACCTATTAAGAGAAAAGTCATATTTATGAACCAATAGTACGTTCAAAGGTGAGTAATTTACACAAGGATGACTTATTTTTTGGAATTCGTTGTCCTTGTTTTTATTTTTTACCATACTTGTATTGTGTATTATTTATAATACTCTAACCAGAGCGCGAGACTCCGGTTCATGGGGTCCCGGGTTCAAATACCGCCATATCACCAATGGATTTTACTTTTCATAAATTAAAACTCAAATCATGATTAGTACTGTATGTGTATTTCAACATTTTCTTAAAGAGAAATAAAATTAGTTTTAATCCTTTAAAAGAATGATAAGCGCACTTTGGCGGTCAGAAGACGCGATGATTGTTGAACATTTACACTTTTTACTCGAAGTTTCTTTAGGTAAACATATCAAATGTAGTTCAATATGATATTAAAAAAATCAAGAATTTGATTGCCAAGAAAGTGTTTTACTTTTTATGATTGTAATTTAATTGTAACGGCTGTTGGTGTAAAAAAAGTTAGAGCGGCTTTGCATTTTTTTCTTAACTTTGGCTATTTAAAATCACCTGCCTAGCACATAAATGACTTAAAACTAGTAAAAAATTATATTAACAAATCGAGAAAACTATGAAAAGTGCAAATTTAAAATGTATTTCATCACCCGAATTAAAATTTTCATTTTAAACTATTATTAGTAAGATTGGTTTATAAACTGGAAAAATTATAAGAAAACTTTATTGTAATTATTTTTCTAAATACCACTTTTAAATATAGGTAAATATATATTTTTTATTTCGAGAAACTCTTAAGGAACACGAATAAATTGTTAACTTGTGTAGATACATCCTATTTTTTTCAAAAACTTAATTAAAGTAATCATATGTTCAAAGTCCAGGTCAATTCTTTCAACTTTGATCTTCAATAATAAATAATAAATAATATTTTTTATAGGAATGATTGACACTGTTCGATAGGAAATTTAATTTACTTTAAGAATGCCATCGGTGAATAACACAGGTGTTTTAGTTTAGCGGCAATTTTAATTCGAAACAGCGCGCGTCGCATTTTTCCCTATCTCTCCCATGTTATAGCCGAGGCTTTTTGCCACTCTACGGCTCCGCGTGCCCCTCTAGTGTTCTGCTAAAGCTGGCTTCACCGCAACACGTGTATTCCTATTCGCGTGCCCTCTCCTTAATGTTTAATCCTCCTAGGTGCTATGTTCGTCTGTCTCTCCCTCCGCTCTGTTCGGTCTATCATCCATCCAACATTACCCATCGATCGAATCCATTTCCATTGTTTCTCTTTTCTCTTGTTTTGTTTGTTCTTGTTTTGTTCGTTCTTGCTTGTGCTTGGTGTTGGTGACGTGTGACGTGTTTGTTTGACCCTCCTAACCTATATTATTAACTTTCTCACCCAAGCAAAACGAACTAAATGAAAATGGAAAAGGAAATAGTAATTATCTCAGCAGCACGAACACCAATAGGTAACTTGAAACTTAGATAGCCTATGCCTCGGATAAAATTTAATTTAATCCTAGCATTTAAGTCTTCAATAAAATCCCAAACATAACCTAACTTTTAGGTTATCAAAGGGAACAATTCTTCCATTTGTAAGTAGGCCTTTTTTATACCTATCTTTCAATAAATAATCAATTTTTAGATTTCCAATCTTCCTTATTAAACTGTCATAGTTTGGTTGGTCAACTTATATCTAAGTTAAACAGAATTGGTTCAAGGGTTTAGGCTAACTGAAAGTGTAGGCTACCAAGTTTTACCCTAGCCCCTATAAACATTGCAGCAATTTAATAAAAGTTTGGGGTACAGTTTCTTAACTGGGCTACGTTAATATCGATCGAAACTATCGATTCGATTAGTAAACGTTTGATTTTTGCGATTTTTTCACCATCAACAAGTTTGGTTAGTTAGGTTAGGTTATAGTTTTATTTTATAATAGATGTATTTAAAAATATTGATTATTAATCAATATTTTAAATTCGATAGTTTCAATCGATATTAGCATAACTTAGCCCAGTTAAGAAACTGTACCCATAACTTAATTAATTCAGGTGCACTTCTGTTGGCACAAACAACCGAATGAAAATATATATCGATTACTTGATATATCGTTATCTATTACTCAACATATCGTTATTGATTACCCGATATATCGTTATCGATTACTCGATAGCCTGGGCCTATATCTTTTGGTTAGTTAAGTAAGGTTATCCTAACCTAATTAACCAAACAATATATCAAATGGAACAATAGAATAATCGATATTTTCATTTGGTTGTCTGTGCCAAATCATACGAAAGTCTACCCGTGTAGCCTAGTCTTGGTTTTAACTCAATAGGCTAACTCATTTGTTTAGCTAAATCAACATTACAAATGTATTAGCCAAGTCAAATTTACCTACAGTACTAAAAATAACTAGCCTATTAACTAACTTAAAATATAAATTTAAATTCATGAGAGGACTGTTCGTCGGCGAGAAATTACCTCAAGTGCCTTTTGAAGCATCCCGGGTCTGATGTGGACTTGATTTGAAGAGGGAGAGCATTGAACAGTTTAACACTAATACCGAAACCCTACCCAGGCTGACGCTAAACGAAACCTCCGGTCTGTGAGACCCCATTTGAAAATAATGGACCCCGCTTAGAAACACACAAACTGAAACCCTGGGCCTGTGAGACCCTGCTTTAAAATACACTAACGCTGGGCTTCTGAGACGGGCATGTTATGAACAGACAACCTGTCAAGGTCACGGCACCTACGCAAAATTAAAAAATATATCAACAGGTAGGGGAGGAAAAGGCGGTAAAGTATTGGGGAATTCCATTCCCCAAGTAAACAATTTTGCCAATATGTGTTTTTGAAAATTCCCATGAGCCTGTCCGTCCGGGGTTTCGGTATAAGTGTTAATGGCATTATAATTTAGATGTCTTTCATAGAATGTGGTTGAATGAGCTGGAATTCTCAGATTGAAAGTATTGCGAAGCAGATGATATGAGTGGGTGGTTTTATATGGTTGTGGTGTGAAAATGAGAATAATTTGACTTAAGGAAAGCGAGGACTTCCAGAATGTAAATACAATGTAAATGTAACTGTTATGTTCTTAAAATTTATTTTTTTAGCCTACACTAGGCACAGCATAAAAAATGCAGTCTTTGTGCCATTTAATAAGAATGATTCCAAATTACCTATCAGAATAGGTGCTGTTTAAGTACATCAAAACAAAGTACAAAAATATGCTTGAAAAACTTTTATTAGCTTTCAATAACGTTTTTTTAACTTCTCACGTTAGCAATTAATTATAAGTATAGGTAAGCTCAGTAGTGCTCACCTAGTAATCAAAAGGTAGTTTTTTTGACCCTGAGAAAAGTGTAAAGCTTTTTGATGGCTCGAAACTGAACTCAGCTGTCCTTGATCATTAAACTTTTAATAAATGGTCCTGGCTAATGAAACAGCTGGTATTAGTCAGTAACAAAGTCACAAGGTCACTACAAGGTACATACACTCCATTTACTACAGCTAACTTTCCTATCCCAAATTGAAATTATATCTCATCTTTTTTACAATGTTGATATGATTTTTAGGTTCATTTTGTGGCTCTCTGTCAGCTCTCAAGTCTCACGATTTAGGAAGTGTCGTTATCAAGGAAGTTTTGGACCGAGCCAACTTAAAACCTGTTGATGTATCAGAAGTAATTTTTGGACAGGTATGTTTAATAATTATTTAAATGGTGAACAAATAGGCTATGTCTTGTTTACAGAAAAAAATTGAAAAAATCCAATTAACTTAATCAGACAAATTGAAATTTGCCTACTCTGCAGGTTTGCTGGGGTGGGAGTATTTTGTTCATGAGGTTGTTGACTCAACTTAAAGCCTTTTGACGACAGCAGTATATTTAGTACTATAGTTATTTGTGCAACTAGTGAGCAAAGTGAGCAATTGACTCACTCGAGAGAAATACTTACAAGGAATGGTTTCTCGAGTGAGGCAATTGCACATTGCACTCGAGTTGCACATTATATTTTTCCTACAGTTGCCATAAAACAAATAAATTGGTAAAGAAACGTAACATATTTTTACACAGAAGTGAACTTTTAATATGACATTTAATGATACAACAGTACAACAGCTGACCAGCTGATTTACAGCCAGTGCTGCCAACGTATTCCGCGTGCATACGACCTTGTCTGCATGTTACACGCTCACTTTTTCGTGCCTTCACGTTGCAAATCTGGAGTGAGACAAAGTAATTAGTGGTGAGCGAATTGGCCACTTTGCTTTCTCAAATCAGTGAGAGAACATGTACATTGTTAGGTAACTGTAGGAAAAGTTATTATTGTGACATACTATATTGTAGGAAATAACAATGAAATATTTGCTCACAGGCCTTAACAGCAGGCGAAGGACAGAATCCAGCTCGTCAAGCTGCTGTGAAGGCTGGTCTCCCCTACAGTGTCCCAGCTTACGGTGTCAACATGCTTTGTGGCTCGGGGCTTAAGTATGTTGTATCTTCTATATCATTTTAACTATTTCATCATCATCATGAAGACAGTAGTTTTTTTTACTGCAATTTTTGATGAGACTGAAAAAGCAGTTTGTTTTTAGCGAATTTCCCTATAGGGAAGTAGCTATTACCGTAGGTCTCATGGTAAGACCTGGGCGCGGGACCGATTTACTTTTTCATTTTGATGTCCCCAGAGGCCAAAAACACTAATCGTTCAAATTCATATATATATATATATTTATATATGTGTCCGTTAGCGCGATAACTCGAGCAAAAATTATCCGATTTTGATGAAAACGTGTAAACCTACGTTTATTCGAACGAGTTCGCGAACCAGCATGATCGGACTATGGGAACGGGGGTTTATGGGGGGTTTTATGGGGTAAAAATGGGATTTTCCCATTTTTGACCCTAAAAATAAAAAATTTTGCAATTTCTGTTTAGACCGTTTTGTAGAGCTTAAAAAAAGAAATAATTTAGTATATTGAAGTGCTGTTGTATGCCTAACGGTCACGGAGAAAATTAAAAAATAGTGTAATTTAAAATGCCCATGTTATTCTTATGGAGAAAATGAAAATTGTTGTAGTTTACTTGTTTATGGATATATATTGATCTAAAAAAAAAACCACTAAGTGGTAACACTTCCCCCGCCAAGTCAGCAACCCAAAAAAGACAATAAATCACCACTTTTCCGCCAAGTAAAACAATGTAATGTATGTAAGTTTGGCCACTTGGCGGCAGACTTTTGCTTGTTTTTTTTTTCATTAAAGTTACGTTGGTGGATAATTTCACAAATCAACTTCTCTAATTAATTAGTCCAACTAAGTATAATAATTTTGAGGTAATCAGTAAATATAAAACCATCACTATTATGATTTTATGAAATGTGACACAAATAAGGTCAAATTTTGTAAAATGAGCTCTCATCTAGCAATGTACTATTGGGAGAGATACTTGCTCAATGAAACTAATTTTATGGTATTTTTTAAAGTGATCAAGCAAAAGTCTGCCGCCAAGTGGCCAAACTTACATACATTACATTGTTTGACTTGGCGGAAAAGTGGTGATTTATTGTCTTTTTTGGGTTGCTGACTTGGCGGGGGAAGTGTTACCACTTAGTGGTTTTTTGTTAGATTGTATTTATTTTTGTAGAAAATTAACAGTTAAAATAAAAATCCTCTTTTCTCTTATATATAGACCAGGGCACAACTACACATAAAATGCATTGGTGTTACATAAGTGTTCCGATAATTAAACCCGTATATCTAAAGACTAGTGTAAATTGAGCCCTTATTAGAGAAGTAAAAATGTAATCAAACAGATTAGGTTTGTTAGAAATAGCATAGGGCAAAACAAATATTGAAAAACTCATTTTTATCCTAAATTTACATATCACTTTTTACATTCACTTTTTTGCTTGTTTAACATACGTAGACGGATTTTCCCGATTGTTTTATTTGTTTTAGTGTATCAAAACATAAAACTAACCTTATTTAGTTAAATAAATTTTGGCAATATTATGAAGAAACAATGTTAAAACTAACCTTAGTACTAGTACTAAGTTTCAAGTTCCTAGGTTTCATATGTTTTGATAAGTAGTATTAAACTGTTAAAAATGACGAGCTGCTGTACCAGTGTACCATCGGTACACTGCATTTTTCAATGGAAAGTATCGGGGAATATCACTGCTCTAAGTAATTTTATATAGTAAGTAGCTCAAATCATTCGGTATACCTGAAAAAAATACTTTATAAAAGTTTTAAAATAATTTTTCAGCTGATCCTATGAATTTCTCTAACATTTTAAATTAATTGAGATTTAATCGCATCTGATCCTTCTTTTGTTTTGTTTTGATAATCCCATGTTATTTAAATGGGCCAAAATCGTACTTTGAGGGCTTGCCAAGGGTTTATGGGTCAACGCACCGACTTGTGACCCTCAAAAGGCACATCTACACGCTAAGGGCTTTCAAACAACATAAAAAACATTAAAATTGAGCCAGTGGTTTGGGCTGTAGGTCCGTCAACATTTAAGGAGAAGAAGGAGAACACGGAAAATTTGTGAATTTTCAAACTAGTTTTTCTTGGCTCAAACACAACCTTTTTTTAAATTCTTTTTTTTATTTTGCCAAGAATGATTGCCCCTATCCAGTGGATGAACAATTATTTTAATAGCTTTTGTTTCTTCAGAGCTATAGACGAGTAAAAAAGCCACTTTGTCACGTCATGTATATATACACTGCAGCAGCTGTGTACCGCTGGGGGACTTGGCGGGGCGGAACGCTGCCGCGTTCCTTAATAAAATTTGGCAAATTTATTTATTTCATCCTATACTATATTGACGTATAGTCAAAAAACACTTTTTACCTTCCCCGTAGCAGCAAACCTAAGCACTCGTTAAATCTAATGTTATTTAAATAGGGAATAAAAATATGTCTTATTTATGGAAATATTTGAGCAAAAATGTAATAAGACGAGTTGAAATTTGCTTAGTCTGCAGGTTTGCTGCGGCGGGGGTATTTTAAATAGGCTGCTGCCTTTTAAACAAGGTAGAGAAAAGAATGAAAGGAAAGTTGTGTTTTGTGTGGCATGTTATTGTTATTGGCGCTTGACATCACGTTTGTTGCAGAGCTGTTGTGGCAGGATGTCAGTCTCTAGCTGCGGGAGATGCCAAGGTCTGCGTTTGTGGAGGTCAAGAGTCTATGAGTCAGACTCCACACTTCACGCACCTCCGTGTCGGAGTCAAACTCGGAAACTCCACTCTCGTAGATCACATGGTTTCTGACGGCCTCACTGACGCCTTTCACAACATCCACATGGGTGAAACCGGTAAATTAATGTGAGATTGGTTATGGTTTTCTATCTTGATACTCTCTTTCTACTACTTTCGGTTAATTGTTAAGTTTCACAAGTCAAATATGTATACTAATTAATGTTTTTGTAAATTAAAAATAATTTAAAACAGTTCTTTACTAAGTCGTTTCAGACTTTGGCTTTTAAGTACTGAGGTTTATTTCTCAACTATTCAAAGTACTCACATCATATTGAGCCAAAATTATAAAGAAATAAAATATAATGAATATAAATAAGCCTATCCATTCACAATCTGAGGCAGTAAGCCGTCGAATCGCCACCTCACATCGGTTGACATCCAGAAAAAAGCTACGGGACAGCTATCAATGTGTTAAAACTCATATCGCATCCAAAATGCTAATTATTTTTCTCATTTCTTCCTAGAAATTCCTACTCTATTGCTTACTCTATTGCTGAGCTGTTCAGGAAAGTATCCTGAACATTCGTATAGTATCCTCCTTTTGATTAAGTTTGGTTCCACCTGCTAATATTGTGCGGTTGTATAACAAATAGTTATAACCTCAAAAATTACCTTAATAGATCAATAATGTAATGTAGACCCTATGTGGTTTTAACTATTCAAAGAAACCACCTTTTTCTCAATTCTTGAGGGTTAAAATGTTTTTGTATCAAAATAATTAAGTTATTTGATACCGGTACACATCTGCGGTGGGTTAGAATTTTATTAAAATATAATCAGTTTACTTTGGTCAATAAATTGGTAAAAGTAAGTTATTGTGGGCAGATTCTCTGGGAAAACTGCTTACGAGCTATTAAACAGATGATTAGAAGTTTTGAAGAGGATGAATTTTTTTATGTTACAGCGGAAAACTTGGCCAAACAGTATTCCATCTCGAGAGAAGAGCAAGATAAATATGCGATGGAATCTCAGAACCGAGCTGAAAAGGCGCAGAAAGAAGGTTATTTCTCCGAGGAAATCGTACCTGTTGTGATCAAGAACCATAAAGGAGACAAACAAGTATCACAAGATGAATATCCAAAACACGGAACCAACTTGGAAGCTTTGGCAAAATTGAGGCCCGCTTTTATTAAGGTGAACCAATTATTTACATATTAGTAGGCTAAATTGTGTAAATTTTAGAGAGTGCAATTTCCTCCTTAACCATTTGGTGTATAGCAACATTTTGATATATTAAATTATTTTTTTTATATTTTACAGAATAGTTTGGAAAGAAACAGCAAAATTGTATATTTTGAGAGGAAAATGGGAAAACCCAACTTTTACATTAAAGAACCTTGTTCCCATGCTGGTCTGCAAACTTGTGTGAATAAACAAAGGTTTATATATTTGTTCCGAACTCAATGAAAATCGCATGATTTTTACTCAAATTGTTGTGCTAACGGACGCACACACGTACTGTAGGCCTATAGCCTATATTTATCTGAATTTGAAAGGATGATTTTTTTGGCTTCTGGGGACATTGAATCAAAAAAGTGAAGTGGTCCGTGGTCTAGGTCTTACCATGAGACCTACGGTAATAGCTTATTCACGATCATTGTTAACTCAGCCACAGAGCTCCGTTGCCACTAAATATAAGAAAGACGTCGGAGAGCGGATGGAGAGGGGTATGCAGATATTAAGAGTTTACTAACTGTATACATGTTTAAACTTTTAAAAGGTACAATGGCTCTTAAAAAGTACAATGGCTCAAAGCTTGGCATAAGGAGTTTTATTGACATATCCGCTACAGTGTACATTTCACTATACTCGGTTGTCAGAAGAAGGTTGATCAACCCTCTGTAGGCCTAACATGTGTTCAGTGGTTGATGCTTTTTGATTATACATCTCAACCGTCATCAGACCTAATATAGATAGTGACTGGGATATTAGACCCGAGATTACCTCGGTTACCGAGAATCTCGTATAACACAGAGTTCGCATAGATTTTGAGTTTAGGGTTTGTTGGCCGGAACCACATTGATAAGTCAAATATTTTCCAAATATATTTTTTAACGATAATTGTATCCCATGAAAAATTATCAAACGTAATTTTAATTTATATTCTTTTTTTTAATAAGGTTGTGTTATTGAAGAAAATATTAGGGAAAGATGCTCAACACTCCTGCAATGGTCTTGAAAGTAATTATTTGAAACGGTACAATAAAGTAAATCCTTCTAGTTCAAAATAACATTTTGTAAAATTACAATCATGTCTACATCAAAACATTGTGATGAGAAATACTGATGCTATTGTTTACGTTCTGTATACGGCTTGTCCAGCTTGCCAACATTTGGCAGACAACCTAGTATCAGTAGGCCTACTGAGTATTTTAATTTTCTAGGTTTATGCACCAAGTAGGCTAGTTAGGAATTTAATAAGAAATTAAATGTGTATATTTAACTCAAAATCGAAAATTCCTGACAAGAGGTCCCTATTTGCTTTCCACATCACAATTATTGTTTTGCGATTGAAAATAAAAAATATATTTAGGCCTAGGGCCAATAACAACCTCGGATAACCCTAGGGTTCAGATAACCGGGGCTCGAATAATCGTGTATTGTACTAGATTAAACAAATTTGTAACCAAATATTATTTTCAGGATGGTACTGTGACAGCAGGCAATGCGTCTGGTATCAATGACGGAGCAGCAGCTGTGGTGCTGATGTTGGCCGAGGAAGCTAAGCTGAGAGGGTTGACGCCATTGGCTAGGGTGGTAGCCTACGCTCAGGCCGGGGTGGATCCTAAGATCATGGGGATTGGTCCTGTGCCTGCTGTCAGATCAGTGGTAAGTGTATATAAGTTTATATTGCTAAGACTGGACAATAGGAGATAAACAATAAATAGTTCTGGACAGATGGTGAATCTAGGATTGGGTCTGCATCCTAAGCCGGGTGTTGTACACTGGTGCACAATACCCTGTCTAAACACCTTGGTTCACTATGCTGTCCAGATCTATAGTTGGATAGTTACGAAGATTTTATGCGGATCCTGGAGGAAACACATCTCCACCATGCTCAAATCAAGGATGTCATATATCTGCAACTTGCTATTCTCTCACCTTTCCATTGTAGAAGTGTACTTTCCTCCTTCAGAATTATCTATAACTGTATAGCGTTACAGCGTACTGGGGAATAGATATTCCACTCCAATATTTAAGCTGTCGCCAGGTTTGAATTATAAATAGTTATAATTATAAATTATAAATAGGGTACCGGTACAAACTACAGTACTTAGACTCCAGATTGAAGGCCTATTATTTATTTAAGGTACCAACTACCTAAACCCCAATGACAACTGTTTTAGTACAATAAGTTCAATTGAACCTAACAGAGTTTGCTGCTTAAGATGCAGTTGCCAGTTGGTCTCTGGAGGTAGAGAAGACCGCGCTAGTGAGGGGCTGACCAATAGTTGTAATAGCTGGGTTTGCAGTTTAAAGTTTTGAGGTAACTGCTAAGTATACCTAGATGTCATACATCATTTCATTCATCTGACAAGTTTTTGTTTCCACGCCATTTCAGTTGGAGAAAGCAGGTTGGAACAAGGATGAAGTAGACTTGTACGAGCTAAACGAAGCGTTTGCCGCTCAGTCTGTGGCGGTGGTGAGGGAATTGGGACTAGACTCAGGGAAAGTTAACATCAGCGGTGGAGCTATTGCACTGGGACATCCCGTTGGGGCTTCAGGTAACAAAACTATAAAGCGAAGGGGCCTTACATTTAGGCGGTAATAATGTTATGCTATTATTTGCAAATGCATATTTTAACAACTGTAGGTTTAAGCAATCTAGGAAAAAGTAAAACAAAATATTTTTTAGTTCTGTTGGAAATGGATAGTGTTCAGCTATCTTAATTGAGAAGATTTGAACCCAGGAACTTGTAGATACATGATAAAAAGTTACTTGACAACTCCTATATTTCCTACAAGTTTAGTCTCCAGAGATACGGTAGGATTGGAAAGATGACAGTTAAAAACTGACAAAGTTCAAAATGTTGTGGATTCTCAGAGCTAACTCCTCATTGCTATTTGTTTGCGACAGGTGCCCGAGTGTTGGTAACACTGCTGTATGGTTTACGTCGCACGGGAGGCAAGCGTGGAGTGGCAGCACTGTGTGTCGGAGGGGGAATGGGTATTGCAATGGCTGTGGAACGAAACTGCTGATTGGTTCATAGCAACAATCATATCCATTTGACAGTATTCAAGTAGACCTACACAGCCCATACCTATCAAAAGTGTTGGCTGTATCAAGTATTTTTTACATTATCGGTAAGGAGATAATTACAACTTTATATACGATAGCGTTTTACACAAGCAACATTTTTGTTGTTTAATTTATTCTTGTTTTAAGTATTGATTTATTTACGTAATATTATTTGAGTATTGTAAGTTTAGGCTGAAAATGAGGCCTAAATTTGTCACTGTTGGTGGTTCAACATATTGCGTTTCTTCCTTTAAACTGCATGGTGCTATTGCTTACACCGCCTATTAATTGCAGGCCTATTCTAAATGTCTTTATTTGATTTAATATTTACAGTACATACAATGTATGAATATGCATAACGCTTTTAAGCACTAAATTGTGATAATGTGCAGTGTGTCTATTGACATAATCTAAGTCTTTAGACCTGCATGGAAATGAATCTATTTTTGTAAATTTGTCTAGAACACGCTACATTTAGTATTTATTAAAAGACCTCTATAAAGATCTTGATTTTACTATCATTGTGCTTAACTTTTATAACTACTGTAGATAAATTAGAAACTCATTTGTATTAGCATTGTTTAGAATAGTTTCCTGTAAAACAGGATTTTATTAGTAGCTCTTTTTTATATTCTGATTAAATGTAGCAATTTAGTTAATAGCTCTTAGTTATTTTTAGAATCATATAAAAATATGACAATCACTCAAATAAAAAATGCCATTTATGGTGATCATGAATATGTATCTCACCATTGACTATGGATATTAACTTATTAAATGTTTGATTTGGCCATATCCGTTGGTTGGTGGTATTTCGATCCATCTTTGTAAGTCGGAATCGCTCTGATCCTTGAAGTTGAGATTTATGATTCAGTTTGATAGGAAGATTCATTTAATAGAATTTGCAAAAGTCAGATTATGTAATTCTTTTGGCTTCATTGTAAAATGTACAAATCAGTGGTGTCTATTTAATTTTGATTTACGGTTTTAGTATCAATAAGTCCTCTTGAAATTCTTTAATTTATTTTCGCTGTGTTATAATAACGAGTCGATTAACCTCTGATGAAAATTATCAACACTTAAGATGGAAGAGGTAGGAATACGTACGTTTTGAAAAACGTGGACTATGAGATATTAGTTCAGTAGTATTCATTATCAACATAGTGATCATAAATATTTTCATAAATGCTCCGTACAATGGGGGTGAAACGGCTTCAATGCCCATAGTCAATGGTACAACACACTGAATTTTTTGCCTCAATATTTTTAATAGTTTTGTCTAGGATCTGTTTGTCTGCTCTTATGATCTATTACCGTTTTAGCTATTTACCAAATGATTAAACACCAAATACAGATACAGCTTTATCGTATGATGACAATAATAATTTTATTCTAGGACTGTGTATTTAAGGTGTTGATATATTAGTTATTGTTATAGTTGGACCTATGTTTTTCATAACTTGTTAACTTTTTGTTGAGATTTTTATCGTAAGGCATTTTTACTTATTAATTATATTCTTTATTAGGCTAATATTATATTTTAATGTTAACAGTATTTCTTATTATTGTTAAGATATTTTATGGTTTTTAGTTGTTAACATGTACTGTTTTAAATGTTTATTATTATAAATTAATTTTTTGTTAAAGTTAAATGGATAGATTAATTCATTAAAATGAATTTATATCTTAAAACTAGTGTTTTTACATTTCCTTGTATACCAGAAACACTATTATGCATATTGCATATTCTTTATCTGTTCTTGCCATCTGCCTGACATAGAGAACAAATAACCTTTACGATTATTTAAAAATAATTCTTTCTTCTAGTATCATACTGTAGTCTAGATGTTTAGGCCTACCACATATTTGTTGGAAATTATTTGTTCAATTCCAATGTTCACAAAGTTTTCAAGGTTTTTGGAGTTTGTTATTTTTTTACAATATTCAAATACTGTAAGTGAAACACCCAAGACCAAGATGTAATTAAGTTCTCGCAGTGCTTGATTTCTGCAAATTAAGATAGGCACTAACTAAGCTATAGCATATCAGGCACAGTCGCCATTCATTTCTCTTACCCCTCAAGACAATAAGCAATATAGTACTTCAGCTCTACAGAAAACAGTAAAAAAGTTGAGAGTAATTTTGTTTTCATGAATAGTTAAAAACTTCTAAAAAAGATAAAGGTCTGAGTTTCTGTATGCGGTTTTTCTCTCTAAGATTTCTCTTACAGAAGAAGCAATGCATAACATTTTTTGTCATCCGTTATATGTTCTTGCCAGGATTATTGGATATGATCAGGACTTACTGATAATTTATTGGATGATTAAAAAAGAACACTGAGCCAATTGCTGAAACTAGTTAGTAATATCATAGACAAATAGAGTAAACTAGGTGAAACCCGTCGAAATCGACGGTTACTTTCAAGGCTTACGTTAATTCATCCAACTGTGATAAATTGAATGAAACATACATATTTTGAGCATTTAGCATTGTTTAAAGAGTAATATGTATAAAAACAATAATAATATTAATTTTGCGTTAGTTGCCAAATTTGGTTGATCATTTAATGAATAAGATATTCCCCAATCCCCATACCCAACGTCATAGGAGTTATTATTAATATGTTATATGGTATCTCTTCCCTTGGAAGAACCTTTAAATAGTATTAAACTCGTATTGGTGGATCTTTTGTAGTTAAACACTTCTGTGATTTCATCAGTGTAATATGATTTTATTTCAAAAGAAAATATTTTCTGGGAAGACATATTCTAACTTCAAAGGGAGATCTATCCGTTACAGTGTAAGTTTAATTTTTCCTTCGTCACGTCGCGTCAGTTCATACCGTACTTCTGTGCTAATGAGTATTAAAATTGTATTGGTGGATCTTTTTTAGTTAAACACTTCCGTGATTTCTTCAGTGTAATATGATTTTATTAAAAAAAAAAATTTTGGGAAGACATATTCCAACTTCAAAAGGAGGTCTATCCGTTACAGTGTAAGTTTGATTTTTCCTTTGTCACGTCGCGTCAGTTCATACTGTACTTCTGTGCCAATGAATGAACCCTCTAGCATAGTTTTGAGAAATTGATTGTGGGGGTTACTGTTAAAGCTGGAATTCCTTGACATGGGGGATGTCAGTTAGTTGTCTCAGCCTTATCAATAACACAAAGTTGTCAATATAATCTCTCTACGGAATGTTAGGTGTAGCGGAATACTTGAAGTGAAGTTGGCTTTTATTCTTGAACTGTTAGGTACCTCCTAGTTCATATGGTCTTGCGGCTTCATTGGCAACAAATAATGCAAATGACATAGCAATGGGACATTTCCAAAAAGCAAAAATACTGTAAATTGGCTGTTACGTATATATTTACGTTTGCATATTGTTAATCAACGTAAAGGATTATGTGATCTAGTTTAAAAGGAATATGACCTTTCTGTCATGACAGTAGCTGCTTAAATAATATTTTCTCTTTGTACCATATTTTAAAGCCAAAATGTCGTGTTATTTTCAATAATGTTACCATCCAGTGCGCCAAAGTCGGTAAGATAGGCAGGTGCAAATAATTTGTCAAGATGGGTACCATTTTAGGCAAGGTTTCTATGTTTGAATTTTAGACACGATAAGAGCAGATATTTCTACAAAAATATTTGATATGTGTAGAATAATATGATAAAATGTAGGCAAAAGTGGTGAAAAAGGCAGACACCAACCCGTACAATAGATATAAGATAGTTCAATAAGAAATAATTTAAGAATTACTGTGATAAAAGGATTTTCCACTGATTTCGTAATGGAACGTTATATTGCAAAACATTTTACGATAAAGAAGAAAATAAATTTTAAAATCAGAAAATAACATTGCAAATACTTATTTGGTAGAATTCAGTAACTCCCAATAAATGTGTGTTGTTTGAAATACAATTTAAAAATGAACAGCTGTTTCATTAAAAAGTATTGTTCACATGGCCAAAATGTAAACAACTCTGTGGTGGGATCTTTAAAGGCTTCTGGGGCAGAGTCCTAAGGGATTTTGCTTAGTTTTTCTTTTGATAGCTCATCTACAGACCAAGACCTTTCTTTGGACACCTCTACCAAGTTTCTACGCCCAGCCGTTCTCTTAAATTAGTGGGGACAAAGTTTCCAATTAAATATTTAGATTCCCCCATGTTAATCTTATGGGAGAAACTCCAACTTTGATGGCCTGTGAGGCAAAGCCCAAGGATTTTTATTACATGATTTGGTGAAAGGGGACGTCTACACAAAAAATACTTTATTTTGACACGTCGTTTGTAAAAATCCGTCCATTATTAACGGAGGAGTAGTGTTTTGTAGAAATCGCCTTCACGTATTATATATAAGGATGTAGACTGTCAGCTGTGCAATTAGCATAAGTTCTGGCGTCCACTGCTAAGATTGCCGTGTAGTTACGGCACACACCGCTACAGCATCTGCTCTTAGCATACAGCGAGAAGCCGACAACGGCAGCGAATGGAACACAGAGCGGCACATCGTGGAGCCTTCCTTTGACAGTCTATACTTATTCTATTAGTCTATGGTAATATGATCAACTGAAGGATACACCAGGTACTTTTTAAATCAAAAGCAAATCGCAAGCAATAATTCTGCGAGCGTTGCAGCACACCAGCAAGATTTAGAGTCATGTCATTGATCGCAGAGTTGCAGTAAGTGAAACAATCAATGATGTGTATGTTAATCAATCAATTAGTACCGAATGGACTAAAGACTCACCATCTAACTTAATAATAATCAGGCCTTGATAGATATCAAGCCAATGGATTCAGATTCTATGTACAGACAGCCTACGTAAGTTGGTATTTAGTATATAATACAACCTATAAGATAATACAGATTTTTTTTATTTGGATAAAACTCTGGACAATGATTAAAAAACAATGCAAAATATGTTTAACATTCAAACTTAATTATAAGTCCATTATATAGGTAAATAATTACATATAATCTTATCATAACACTTTTTATTGATTGCAAAGTGACTTACAAACAGATTTTGCGCTAAAAGAATGTAAACATTTACAAATAAATAAAATTTAAAAAATATTTCATTATTAAATTAAATAAATATTTACCCTATACAGTAAGTTGTTTACCTTGATTCATCCATAACAAAAATGCTAAAATACTGTACATTTTTTAAATAAAATAATTTACAGTAACTTATAGCTTTTTGATGATAAATTGTTAACTAACTCAGTAAATAAGTCAGCATTACAATAAATACGTGCTAGCATTGACTATAAGGTGCTAGCTCTTTAAAATATTTACATAAATAAATACATATTTATAGGAATCCCTAACACAACAGTTAGTTGCATACTCTTTCAAGACTCGTCATCGGATAAGGACGGTAATGGCTAACAAAATAGACAGTTATCAATAATTACTTTTAACAGTTGGAGATTAAAATTTCAGTTTAGAATACAATTTCATGAAAAACTGTTAAAATGAAACGTTCAATTTCTAGATTTACAATAGTGTTTGGCAAGAGGATATGCAACTGTTACCGTGTCACAGCACTAAAACCACACTGAGCTGATCAATTTTGTTTCTAAGCAATCAGTAACTTTTAAGATTGAAAACTCTGACAATCATATAACATTGACCAGTTAAATTATGTTTAAAAACTGTTTAAATGAGTTTTGAAAATGTATTACCAGTATGTGCATATCAAAATCCAAACCCAAACAGATACACAAAAGCATTCATTGACTACAATTAGCCTACTTAAAATTGTAAGGAATGAGGAAAACGTGGCATGCAGCAATAGTTTGTAACAGTAATCTACAGCTACGTGAAATGGGAAAAATACATTGAAAAGTTGCGCTTTACAATTTGTTTCAAGTTTTAATAATGCTATTTGAAGCTTTACCCTTTTATTTACTACCTACTGTAATCCCATACACAAAGTCTTTGCTCACAAAGCAACATCCTTCTACAGCCCATATTAATACTTAGGGAAATCAATGGTTATAATTCTAAATTGGACATCAAAATTAGTAGTATCACAAGAAAACGATTCCATTAAGAAACTTTTTTTTAGAAATTAATTAAATGCTTCATAAAAGATTCAAATCTTAATTGAATTAATTTAAATGTGTAGATTTGTTAAGTTCTGGCTCTATAACATAAGTTAAGTAGGCTACATTTATTTCATCAACATATGCTATTTTTATACCAAATCCAATTGGTAGGCTTATGGTAATATTTTATAACAGATTACTGTATGTGTTCTGTTTAATCAAGCAAAATTTGAATCAGGCTTTTTTGTATAACTTTGCTTCAAGCTAAACATATAGTTTTAAATTGTACTTTGCTCAACATGTACATATTTTGAACTTAAAAACCTAGCCTAAATGACTTGTCTCGACTACACAGCTCTGACCTTCTTTTCGGTTACAGGAGGACCGTGGCTCGGTCTGCTTGGAAAATAACCTCCTCCATAACATTTTTCAAAAGTATTGAACTCATGACTAAGCGGATATTGTGCAAGTACAGACAAACTAGGGACGCAAATATTGGCATGTTTGTGAAGTATACTGCCCCATAAAGTATTCATATTTTCTTTATCATCATAAAAGTACGAACCCCAAGATTTTGAGGTTACAACATGGTGAGACGGATGTTCTCCTAAGTACCCATTGTGATTTCTATCAGTTTCAGCTTTAAGCTCTTCGACTACTGCTACTGTCTCACATTTTGTAAACTTTGATGGTGTATAGATATCTTGGACCAAATTATCACCAAAATAAAGGCATCTAGGCTTTTGTATACCTGATGTTTTCGCAAACAACTGATACAATTCTTGCCAATTGCCTTGGTTGTACATGCTACCCAGTTTAATACTGTTGTTTGACACAGGCTCAGTTTCTTTAAATCCGTCCAATTCAATAAATGGTCTACATCCAGTGAAAAATGCAGGCTTGCGAGCATAGCAAACTACAATATCAAACAAACTTCTCCAATCTTTACCTAGGACTGTTTCTGCCGTGAGTGAAGCAAAGTCACAATTAGAGCCTGTAATCAAGTATGTCAGTTTGGTCTGTTTGATTTCTTTCAACCATTTTATTGTTTCAGGACTACATGGCTTTAAAAACTTACCCGGGTTGGATTTGATTTCTTTGAAGTACCCACCTTCCTCGCTTGCAAAATGCTCTCGATCATACATGTCATGAAGGCCTGCAAGAACATCCGGCCAAACATTGTATACATCAGCTGGTTTTCCCAGTTTATCATCAAGAGAATCAACAATTCTGGCAAAAGCAATGGAGGCTGGCCTGTCAAAATAGTCCAAGAGTGCTCTTATCCTTTCTGATAGAGGGCCATTCCATCCAACAAGCATGTTTTGACATAGCTCGTTTGTGACCTCCCATTTTCTGTCCTTACCGTAAGCGTTTTTAATTTCTTCGTGTGACATCATTTTTGATCCATGGCTTGCTCTACTTATCACTCCATTTTCTGTAATTTTAATTATGTTACCTCTGGCAAAGTCAACAAATAAACCTTTCTGCAAGAAATCAATAGAATCTTCATTCAAAGGCTTCAATAAAAAATCAGGATCATACCCCTTCTCTTTCACTAGATAATTTGCCAGAATGTTGTATTCCGTTTCAACAGAAGGTGTGATGTTATATTCACCTAAAGTATTGTCTAAATCAAAACCGACACAGTCATAATCTAATATTCTAAAAACTGACGAATCTGTTGTTGCTTTGTTAAAAGAAGACATCATTTCCTTCCCACAAGAAGTCAAGGAAGCCACTCTACTATCAGGGCAGTTCTTAGCGTTAGCATTCGTACGTCCTAAGGACTGTAAATGTGAATATGTTCTAACAGCGCAGACATGAATACCGCAGGTAGTATCAGTATGTGAGCGCCACAAATTAGAGGGAACTCTTAACTGTTCCCCAAGTGGGCAGATAGGCCTTATCGAAGTTGTAGTTGTGTAACCATAACCACTCCTTAAAGTGAGAATAACGCGAACACCCGCAGTAAGGTGCATTGTTTACTTACACGTATGAATAATTTACATCACAATAAAACTTGTAAAACGATGTCGTTACTGACCTAGATACGACATGTTTATTTTTAGTAAAGAAATGATTTTACTTTCACTATCACTAACACTTTATTTTTACTGTTTGTTAGGTTTAGTTAGACTGTTGTTTTCGTTTTGTGTTTTAGAGGTTAAACATAAACAGCTGTTGAGCCTGCTGTTGAGGTGTATTTTAAAGATTAGATTAGGGATCAGCTACAAACAAAACACGCCAACGGCTAATTTGATTTCATGTCCACATAGAATTTCGTATAAGTGAAAGCTGCATTTTTGGATCTGTATATAATTATTGTTTCAGCCATGATTACAGCATTTTATTACACCATACATAAAACCGTAGATAAAACAAAATTATACTCACTTAGTAGATTTCTCATCCTTATAATTATTTTTATAATTTGTTTCTTGTAATATCAGTAATTTAAACTTTCGTTTAACCAAATAAAATTATCTTATCATAAACAAAAACTCGTCCCTTAGTTATTTCACCAAAAAGTAAATCACGAATCATTCAATTAACCCTCGAATTGTATAAGCAAAACTTTGTCGACAAAAGCGATCAGTGTCACCGGACATAAACTGGACTCGAAAAACGAGATTAAAAATGTACAATGGGATGAGAAGTATACTGGCGTTGATTGGTCTATGATATTACAAACGTTGGGTCCAAATTTGGGTACACATTTTTTTTTACTGTAATCACATATTCTGAGCTAATGAGGCTTGTAAAAAAAATTAACTAGAAACGGTAACTTATCCATGCTTATATCCTGACCGGAAAACTCGATAACTTGACAGATAAACCAGAAGTAAATGTTAAACCCGGTTTAGCTTTTACCATAGATAAAACATAGTCCCTTAGCTTTTACAGATCATGAAGAATAGAAACATGACATACCGATACAACGGCTGGATTAAAGTGTAGTGTAACCAGGGGCAGGTGCGGGACCGACGTGAAAGTATACGGGAGGGGACGGGACTATGGTTAATCCGAAGGTAGCTCGTTTTCGTGCATATTGCTACAATAGTGGTACACTGTATTATAGCCGAAGCCGTGAAATTTTTACATCATCGGTTCTCGGAATAGGCACGTTTCCCAAAAGACGGCCGTCTAGAAAATTGACAAGTTTTCCAACGTCACTGCGAGTAAAGTGTTAATTTGTTTTAAGTGTGAGAATTAAACAAACCGGCATACATTTTATTGTAATTTAATGATTATTTTGTGCGTCTGTTATTCATGATTGTTTGTAATCTCATATTGTATTTTATTTCCTATATGTAGCAATTAAAAACAAACAGAGTTTTTGGGTGAATCTCCTAGACTATACAGAGTGTCCCAGACCACGCGGCCGGCTTCTATAGCTCCAATATGAAAGCAAATAAATAGACACCTAATTGCAAATGGAACCCCATATTTTGACCCCAAGGAAGTCAGCTTGGTTATTTTTAAAACCCAAAATGCACCCCAAAGTGCAGATTTGTGTGGGGTGGGGGTGGTTTTTGGGACATTTTCAAATGTAAAGGATGTCTTGTTATGCCTCATTTTATCTCTATTTACAGGGTGCTCAAAAATGTACAAAAAATAGACCTTTGAACTACTTTTTACTGCAAAGTTTGTCAGCCTTTTTTTGTAAGTTTTTGAACCTTCTGTAAATAGGGAGGCAGATAATTTAAAATTTGTTTCACTAAAATACTCAGGACTCAAAGACCTTTAAAATGAGGTATAACACGACCCACCTTTACATTTTAAAATTTCCCCAAAACCACCCCCCCCCCCCCCCCAAAAATCTACCTCCCGGGTGCTTTTCTTTGATTTTTAAATAATTTAGCTTAATTCCTTGGGGTCAAAATAGGGGTTCCAGCTGCAATTAGGTTTCTATTTTCTTTCATATTGGAGCTATAGAAGCCGGCCGGGTGGTCTGGGACACTCTGTATAGTACGTCCCTCAGTGACAAACCCTGGAACCACCATTTAGTCTAATAATGTATAATTGGTATCATATCAGTCTAAAATAAAACATAATTATTGTAAAGTTGGTGCAGGATCCATTTGCAAATAACAGGATTTAACTTGTACAGTATTTGCGTATATTAGCTAATTCTATAGGCAAATTGATAGGTAAAGATACTTAAAACAAATATAATCAAAGTGCACCAATGATCGTGCACCCACTTAGGGCACTAAGTTTGATCATAGATCATACACTGACTAACTAATCGCGTCTAATAGGTGCCGATTTATTTTCCTTCCACCGTGGATTTAGGCTTAGAGATTACCATTGGGATTCATTCAACTAATAACTGAATTCGATATCATTCTCTATTCTATAATCAGTGATACTTAATAATGCAAGATGTCTTCAAACCATTCCAGAGATCCTAATCCTCTAAACCACAATCCTAAACCACAACCGCGGAACGGCGCGAACCGCAGCTGCAGCTGCAGCTCGCTCGCTTCGCTGGTTTGCGCTTCGCTGACGAACGACTCAGCGCAAGGCCCCACTAGCTCAGCGACGCGACGCAGCACTGCAGCACTGCAGCAGAGAGCGGGAGAGAGAGAAGAGGAAGAGGAAGACAAGACAACCGCATCAGCAGAGAGCAGAGGCAGCCAGCAGCCATTTTAGATTTTTAACTTTCCAGTTCCAAGAATAAACCGTGAGAAGACCATCAAATCAAATTACTTATTTTACTTACTACAGTTTCTTAAGGTGAGTGTTTTTGTACTACCGTGACTAGTCAATAACACGATAGCTTAATTTTTTATACCGGTATTTTAGTTTGCCCAACCCTGATTGATATATTTAACTTTTGATAGGCCTAACCATAAAATTAAGGACTTGCCCTCTTGAGTTTTCGGCATAACTTTATTACTTTAGTACGCTATGTATATCTCCTCACGCACTACCTCGTATTTTTCATCTCATTTTAAACTAGTGACACCAAACACATTTTGTCTCATTTCTTTGTTCTTTAGTATTAAGTAGCAGAAAATAGGATCTCAAAAGTCATGACAAAAGCAGGTAACTTAGTTAAGCATTTTTTAAGATAGGTTAGGGGAAAATTTTAAACAAAATTAGGCTAGGCCTAGGCTAGTTGAAACCAAAGAAACACAAACCTCCCTTCCAACACCTCAGGACCATTACCCACCAAAGACCCCTCATTTCCCCTCACCCCCCCTTTTTACCTTCCATATAAGCTTGCACATAGAAAAAGAAAAAAAAAAAAAAAAAAATGGTACGGACAGAAAGTGAAAAATCTTTGGAACAAAACCCAGAAACCCTTGACGACTCTGAATCAGAGCTAGCCTCCTGCGCTGTATGTAATGTGTCGATAGGAAAAAATGACAAGGCAGTGGAATGCGACTGCCCAAAGTGGTATCATATCAGATGTGTAAATATAACTGACAAACAGTACAAAGCTATGCTATCAAATACCTTTATTTTGACTTGGGCATGCAAAGAGTGCCTGAAGCTAAACACCAAACAAACAACAAACTCTGTAAAGACCAATGTAAATAAGGACTTGCAACTAAACGGAGTTATAGAAATTCTTATGACTGATATAAACGATCTTAAGGAACAGCTGGACGGAAAAAATGCAGAAAACTTAAAGCTCTCAGAAATAATTGCAAAAAAAATGCAAGTCATATATAAACTCGAAGAAACTATACAAGACCTAGTTAAAAACACAAACATCAAACATGTCCCACTTAAACCACTAGGCCTATCACCTCAAAAATCTACAATAGACAAGAACAAACACTGTGTGAAAACACAGGACAAAGTGAACGGCAAACCTGAAGAGAAACCCATAAACCCAAGGAAACACATCGGTACTAGTAACCACCCGCACGAAGAAAATGCACATACGCCTACAGAAAATGAAATACCATCCATAGACCTAACTGCAACAAACCCACACAAATCAGATAACCCAGCTTTATTGCATCAAACTCAGCCACTTGATCCAAGCCGACACTACTACAAGCATAGGCCTGAAGCCTTATTTGTAAGTGATTCACTGCTCCGTGGAGCTACAAATATTATGAAAACCCACCACAAAGCTAACATAACTCCGAAAATAATGCCTGGAGCCACAACTAGTGAATGTAGCCGCTACCTACACTACCTCAAATACCCTCCCCCCAAAATAATACTGAACATAGGATCAAACAACACCACCTTTTCTAAAACCCCAAATCAAATCATGAGACCAATATGGAAAATGATAGAGGCAAAAATGAGCCAATTCACCACCACAGAGTGGTATATCAATAATATCCCATACAGAAAAGATGTCAGGGATAAGTTTATTGACGATGTGAATGAAGCTATTAAATTCATGTGCTCAGAATTAAAAGTAAATTATGTAGACATCAACAGCCTACTCACAGATGACTGTATGGGACTTGATCAGATACACCCAAATAGAAAAGGAGCGCACAAACTAGCTAGCAGTATCCTGAACCTAACCAACATAAAACACCACCAAATCGGACAATCCAAAACGACGGAGGATCGGCTACCTACGGAGGACCAAACTTCGAAGGCACCGACTGAACAACTGAACGACTTGACGACAATGGAGCAACCCGAAAATGAAAACCAGCCTAAAACTAAGCCCGGACATGACAACTACCCGATTGAAGCCAACACAGAAGAAAACCAAAAACCCCTCCAAGCTGACCCAAACTTCAAAAACCCAAATCAAATCCCAAAATCCTAGACAAAAAAACCGGACTGACACTCTACTACGTAAACATACAAAGAGGCCTCCAAAAAAAGATCGAAAAACTAATAATCGAAATTAATAACCTGAAACCTGATCTTATAATTATAACTGAACATGGCCATACTTCTGACCAAATAAAGCAAATAAACATCGAAGGCTATACACTGACGTCAGAGTTCTCCCGCACTAAGCATAAGTGGGGAGGAGTAGCAATCTTCTCAAAAAATGACATAAAACAAAATATTCTATCTGTAAATACCATCAAAAATAGCCAAGAATGTATTGCTGAATTTGCAGCAGCAGAACTAAAAGACAAACATAAAAAACTTCTGATAATAGGCCTATACCGCTCCCCAAGCGAAAACATAGATAAGTTTATACAACTATTAGATACCTTACTTCAACTGCATACAAGTAAAAACAAAGATATAGTTATTCTCGGCGATTTTAACCTCAAGTTGCAGAATAAAGACGATACTCAGGTTAAGAACCTAATCAACATACTAGGATCTCACAATATAAATTTTATCGACACACCTCATACTAGAATTACAGCGACATCAAAAAACTCAATAGACGGATGCGCCTCAAATCTCAATACTTCCCAAATAAATGCAAAAACCAGCCAAAACAACCTTTCAGACCACGAATCTATTGTATGTAACATAAAAAACTTTAAAACTCTCTTAACAAAACCATTAAAAAAAATCATTAGGCCTATCTCACCTCAAAATTTAGAAGAAATAAAAAGGAGACTTAGTAAAGAAACCTGGAGAGAAGTGTATGAGAGTCAGTCTGTGGAACAAAAATACAATAATTTTATCAACATTATAAGAAGAGAGATGGATGAAATTATGCCAAGAACGCAAAAAATATTTAAGCCTAAAAATAAATCATACTTCTGGGACGAAAACCTACAAAAACTGAAAGCTGTTTTAACAACATCACAAAACAAATACAATACCACCGGACGAGAAGAAGACAAGCAGACCCTCACCATCCTAAAACGTACATACGACCTGGAAATCAAAAAGAAAAAATCACAACACACCCTAAGCAAAATTTCTAACTCAACAAATCAAAGCAAGGAGATATGGACAACCATAAATAAGGAAAGAAAGCCTAAAGAGCACACACGTAAAAATCTAACCATCGAAATCGATAATCAGCTCATCGACAATCCCAAAATTATAAGTAATGCCTTAAATTCATACTTTGTAGATCAAGGAACACCCGATGATAAAAACCCAAGCACCACTCCTACATCACTCCAACAAGAACCCAAAAGCTATACCCATAACCTAACAACTTTCAAACCGATAAACGAACAAGACCTGGCAAAAATCTTCAAAAAACTACCTCCGAAAAATTCTTCTGGATACGACGAAATACCTAATAAAATTATTAAATACTGTCAACAAGAGCTGCTATCACCCCTCGTCAACATCATAAATGCATCAATTCATCAAGCAATAGTACCGACAAAAATGAAAATAGCAACAGTATACCCAAAACATAAAAAAAATGAAACTACAAAAATATCAAATTACAGACCGATATCCATCCTTCCCACCCTATCAAAATACCTCGAAAAAGTAATCTACGAACAAATCATGGAACACCTAATTAATATTGATTTTCTTTCGCCTAATCAACACGGCTTCCGCAAAAATAAGTCCATAAATACAGCCTTAAATCAACTCTGTGAAACCATCACCTCTTACTGGGAGAAAAAACAAAATGTATCTGGAATTTTTCTTGATATCCAAAAAGCTTTTGATAGCCTAAATCAAACCATCCTCATCAACAAGCTTAATGAAATGAATATAAAGGGGAATGCCCTAAATTGGGTAATAAGCTACTTTACAAACCGTTTCCAGCAGGTAGAAATAAACTACTACAACAATAACACAGAATTAAAAGCCAAATCAACACTACAACGTACAACTCGAGGTATTCCCCAAGGGTCGGTACTGGGACCTCTGTTCTTCATAATTTACATAAATAACCTACCAGACCTTCTACCAATGGACAAGACCAGCATTATCTTCGCCGACGACACAACCATCCTCTTTCCCACAAAAATTGGCCAGGAATCATCAGACATAAAAGAAACAATTGAGCAAGCAATAGAAATTTGTAAAACCCTGGACCTCAAAATTAACAAATCCAAAACTTTAAATGTTAACTTCGCCACCACAAGTAAACAACCTGAACTATCAACCGAAGAAGCATTGATAACAACAGCAACTCATACAACTTTCCTGGGCATAACCATTGATCAACACCTGACCTGGAATAACCACCTGGAAAAACTTGGGAAAAAATTATCATCCTCACTTTTTGCCATACGAAGAATACGCTCTATAACTGATAAAAATACTTCTAAAATAGCCTACTACGCACTCTTCGAATCTCACTTACGCTTCGGAATAGTAGCCTGGGGGACAGCGGCGGATTGTTACATCTACATAATCCAAATTCTTCAAAAAATGGCATTAAGAATCATTGAGAACCTACAACCACAAGAGCATTGTAAACCATACTTCGTTAAAAACAAAATCCTTACCGTTCCAAACCTATACATCCTTGAAGTTGTAAACCTCCTAAAACTAAACCCCCCAAAGCTTAGGGAAAACTGCCACAAATATAGCTTGAGAAACACAAAAACAAACTTCGATATCCAACAACACAGATTGTCAAAAACCAGCAAAATACCCCAAATCATGGGGTCAAAAATCTTTAATGCCCTCCCAGAACATATAAAACAAATCAAATCTCCAAAACCTTTTTTTAAATCACTCAAAGAATATTTAGTCCAGAAACCATTCTACAAATTAGATGAGTTCTTTGAAGAGCACACTGCTCACCACAAAGATAGGCTTTAAAATAAACCCACTTTACACCATACACACACACATTAACACTACAATAACACAACAAAAAAAGAAGATGACGATTCCCTAGTCTCTACGACTACGGAGAAGAGGACCAAGGTAAAAGGTAAAAGGTAAAAGGTATGATTGGTAGGCTATTCATTGTTCATCATATTAGAAATTTAGAACACCTAGTTAGGTTTCTCTTGCTAACCAAGGTAGCCTATAAAATACCTAAGCCCCTGGTTAACTTGGGAGTCCAGGCCTGTGTTTCCAGTTGGCTATTAAGCTAGGCCGATGTCTAATAGGTTTTTTTTCATCTGTTTATTTCCGGGCTTTTGTTTGAAGGCAGTTTACAGTTTCTTAACTGGGCTACGCTAATATTGATTGAAACTGTTGAATTGAAAATATTGATTAATAACCGATATTTTAAAATAGGCCTATGCCTAGGCCTATGTCTATTATAACATTAAACTATCATAACCTAACCTAACTTAACCAACCAAACTTGCTGATGGTGAAAAAATCGCATGAAGTTTTACTAATCGGATTGATAGTTTCAATCAATATTAGCGAAACCTAGCCCAGTTAAGAAACTGTACCCAAAATAAGTTGCAATGTGCCTAGCTTAGCCAAATTCAGGCCTACCTCACTTGTTGAACTTTTATTGATGTTATCCTAGGCTAGGTTTAACTTAGGCGATTTGGTATTAGTAAGTTAGAACTAGCCTACCTATATAATTTACGCCCCAAATTGGCTGCAATAGACAATAGACAAGTTTATTAGTCATTAATTGATTCACAAGAATTACAATACTTAGACATCGTCAATCTAAACAATAGAAACATTATTTATAAACAACTATAAAATTTAAGTGTTTGTTTACAAGTTGTAAATTGAAGAAATCACTTAACTTGTACATAGGATTAGCTTTACACCAAGAGAGCAGTTTTTTAGAAAATTCATTTAAGGGCGAAAATCAACTGGAAACATGTTAAATATTTTGATCCCCAAGTGGGTATGATAGTTTTGAGATCTAGACAGTCTTACTCTACTTACATCAATAAAATTTCTATTCCTAGTTAAGTGGCTATGGACATTTCCTCTTAAAACATGTTTGTTTGAGTTCTTTTTCACAAAAATGGAGACTTCATAAATATACAGATTTACAACAGTTAATATACTAGATTCTATGAACAGAGATTTACAATGGTCTAATCTTTTGGCACCAGTAACAATTCTCTAATGACTTTTTTCTGTATCAATAACACCTTACCAATACCTACTCCATTACCCCAAATCACAATACCAAATCTTATGATGCTCTCAAAAAATGCAAAATGGGCTTATTTCAAATAACTATTAGTGACATGATTCCTTAAACTGCTTAATAAACTTTTGACTCTGGATAACCTTGTACAGAGAAAATCAATATGATGCTGCCAAGACAGCCTATTGTCAATATATAAATGCTTAACAGAACTAAAATCACAGATGTCATGGGTTGAAACCAATAAATTGTCAGTTTTGTCAACATATGCACTTAATTTTCTCTCCTACACTCATTTGAATGAATATATCAATTATTTCATTCGATATAGGCTATGAGGTTTGGTTAGTTAGGTTAACCTAGAACCTAACTAACCGAATGAAATAATCGATACATTGTTTAATCTATCGTATATCGATATTTTTCATTCCAATAACTTAAGTGTAGTACAGATAGCCTATGTACTTTATTTTTAAAGGTTGGCCTCTTTTAACCTTGCATTTGTTCGTCCATATAAGTTAGACTAACTTCCCGTGTGTGGAACGTATCCAGCAAAGCAAGGGGTGAGCACTGAGCTATAGTAGGCCTAATAACTGGAGTAACCACTCTGTGTTTTAAAAACGTACCACTGTTTTTGCTGGTTTCGTTTTAGGGTTTCGTGTTGTTAGGTTGGCCAGGTGATCGGTTGGTGGGACTTGTCAAATTAGAGGCAAGATCAAGATGGTGTCATCCTGTTGTTTTGTTGATAGTAAAAAAAAATATGTCAACATTATGATTGCAATATAAGTTTATTTGTTTATTTTACGAGCAAGAGGAACCCATTTTAACAAGATCATAAACCGATGGTTGTTCTTCATCAAATGCCATAGTGGCTAAACCCAAGACTAAACCAATATCTCCAAACCAGGAAACTTGACTACTTAGCCTATGCTCACCACATAGCTTGAAAAGATGTAAACAAGTTAAAATGGTATTTATTTATCATCAAAAACTATTTATAATGTTTTAACTTTAAATACCCAGGTTTTAACGTGCAATAACTTGAATAAGTTTTTGATATAAGTCTTTGAAATAATGGATAACCTTAAATAAATAGTATGGTTAGGTTAGAATGAATTGGAATTTGACAGCATCCCACCAACCGATCACACGGCCAACCTAACAACACGAAACACCGAAAACAAACCATCAAAAACAGTGGCACGTTTTTCTCTAATGTTTAACCAGAGAGTAGTGACTCCAGTTATAATCTATATCTCAATGGGGGTGAGCTGGTACAGCACAAAGGTGAACTGTACTGATAAAATGTTTTGACAGTTCCCAGGATTCGAACCCACAACATCGCTGCCTTGGGCCCGAAGTCTGTGACGCTACCGACTGAGCCACCGACTCACCTTAACTAAAGTGCAGCCCCCAAATTTACTATTATATACATTAATTACCAGCTGATTAACTTATAAAATGAAACTGTTCCAAAATAACCTTACCTGCCGGTAACTAAACATGCTGTAATCCTATGTGAGTAAATTTGGGGAGTAAATTAAAGTGCAGCCTAGAACTGTTTTGGGTAGCCTAAATAAGTTTATGCATTATAGGGTTTGCTCCTGATTTTTGAATTTCTTTTTTTCATTCTACTCTAAATTCAACGCAGGATCCGAATAAGTATGACGCTCTTTTCCGTGGGAAACGACCAAAATAATTTTTTGTACCAAAACCCGTTGGTAGGCCAATTTATTGTGATAAACTTGACCATGGGAACCTATATAACTTACTTAAAGATTTATAACTCAACTTATATCAGAAGAAACTAGATTTTTAGCTGAATTTGAACGAACAGTGTTTTTGTTCTCTAGGGACCTTAAACAAAAAAGTAAATTGTCCTGGGTCCAGGTCTAACCATGAGTAGTACGGTAATATCTTATTCCGTATAAGGTAAACGTACCAGTAGTTGACACTTAACGATGGAAATGTAATAAAAAAATTCTCAAATAAAAATTCTCAATGGAATTTAGAAAACAGTTAAGTTAGTGATAAATAACTTAAACATTAGACTTTGTACATTACCTATACTAAAATACTAAGGCATAAATTTTTATCGAACTAAAATAAATTAATATGCCTAATGATTTTCTTAGTATTTGAACATGTAGGCCTACCAGTAGTTGACGTACATGAATTATTGGATTTTACTAGTACAGTAGTTGACACCCAGCGTACCAGTAGTTGCCACTTTGATTCTTTTAACCATTCTTATAAAGGCTACAATATAGCCTATTTCCAGATATTTAGTTTTAGATACAGAAACCATAACATTTAAAATTTATTAGAAAGTATAAATCAACAATCTGATTTAGTAAATTGCGGCACTAGCCACTGATATTTTCCCTACTGTCATGTCTTCAACGGCCTTCTGTAATTTGATCTTGGCTATATAACGGCATACTCCCCTTTGTGGGTGGTATTTTACTACGTAAAATCATAAAACAATATTAACAATAGTCTGTAATTTAGTTATTTTGGGTTTAATTTGGTTGTTACTTAAATTATGTGCCATTAAATGACATAATAATTTAGATATTTTGGGATTCTTGAGGGTCAATCCTTGATATTGTCCTGTAATAATTAGGCTTTACATATTATATCAATCATGTTTACAGACAACAAAATGAGCCATCATCGTGAATGGGATCTTTCCTGCAAGGTTTACGTCGGCAATTTGGGAAATAATGCATCAAAAAATGAACTTGAGGATGTATTTTCCAAATATGGACCTCTGAGAAATGTGTGGGTTGCAAGGAACCCTCCTGGCTTCGCTTTTGTTGAGTTTGAAGATCCTCGTGACGCTGAGGATGCAGTCAGGGGCCTAGATGGGACGTGAGTATCTCCACAATTGTATTCTAACAAAATTCTTTGGGCCTAAGTTATTTTTAAAAATATGGACCAATAATTTACTAAGCTACTATACCTTTCTTATATTCCTTGTGATATTCCTATATCATTAAAACACCAGTAGGTCATAATGTGCTTATAGTTACGTACCGTAATGCCTATTTACTAATAAAAGTGTCTAAATGTAGGCTAAACTTTTTATCAAATTCGTGTCAGTAAACTAAGGCTTTCTAAGTTATACGCTACCGGTACGGTAACTTAAGTCTATGTTAATTTTAACCCTTTGCGGTCGAATGTCGAGTACAAGTCGCCGCCCGCCATTTCCCCAACTGTGAGTAGGCTATAGGCCTACTCAAAAAAAATATATATATATAAAATAAGTTGATCTTTGCAATAGAATGGCGAGTATAGGTCGCCGCGCACCGTTTTCCCAAATGGCACAATCTATACTCGCCGAAAAAATTAAAATAAAATTTGACCTCAAAGGATTAAGCCTATGTTTAATTCAACCAAAAATATGTTTAACTTAGTTTAAATTGAATTATTTAATGTTGGATGTTTATAAAAAAAAATATGTCGTATTCAGGTTTAAATCAGATACATATTTATGTTATGTCAGTGTAAGGAAACGATCGCTTTCAGTTTTGATTGCATACTTAACATTTTATCATTAGGGCCTACCTGTATTTTTTGTTACCTTGACATTTGTAGGCCTAACCACCAGCTAAGTAAAAATGTTTTGCGTTTAGGTTTTGAGATTCGGGATTTGATTTTTTAAAGTTTTGGTTTTGAGATTCAAAATTTCTGGTTTTGACCATCACTAATAGCTACATAGATTACCCTACTCCATTCTACACTCATAGTTGGGTTAAAATAATTCTTTATCTTAATTGATTTTGATGATGATGTGTTTTTAGTCATGATTAATAACAATAACAATAAATTATAATTTTCATACAGCCGCTGTTGTGGGGTTCACATGATTGTTGAGATGTCTAACGGACGTTCCCGCAGATCTGGTGGCGGAAGAAGGCGATCTCCCCCTGCCCGGGGTCGTTCCAGGTAAAATTAAAATCCTTTTACTCTTAGATTCAAGGGCCATATCAGAGAGATCTGTTGATTGAAATATTTGCAAGGAACCAGACTCTTAATGAAGATTTTCAAACGATGCTTGTTTTATCAAGATTTTCATGTATTGTGTCATGGTTGAAATTGAATGTCTTGTTCAGTGTTTGGCTCCAAACATAACTTTTTAAAATATTAAAAAGTTTTTTTAAGCCTTTAATTAATGAATGCTCTGGATTTTTAGCAGCAGGCAAGTTTAAAAATTACAATTTGTCTACTTAAAAAAAATAATATTTCATGATCTCATGATGTTGAACATTAAAATACATTTATAGAAATTATTTATTTTTACATTCTTATTAGTGGGGATAAAAAAAAGAAGTTGAGCACATGTACATTTGAATGTTATGTCACTAATTTGAATCCTTAGGTAACCGATGTGTCCCAGCTTGTCAAAATGTTTTTCACACTTTTGTTTTGTGATGAAATATTTGCAGCTCTAACTGATTGTTGCATCTTCAAAGAAGTGTGGATCTTTGTGTAAGGTGGTGAGAATAAAATTACCAGAATTGCTCCAAGTTCCTTTTTTAATTGGAGTTGGACTTTTTGGATTTGGTTGTTGACCTCAAGGGTTTGGTATAAGGAGATTAAAATGTTGATCAACTAAATTTTGTTTTTTTTGTAAGCGGTTATTTACATTGTCTTTTGGACAAAAATATTCTCTCATAGGGCTGTGGGCTCACATTATTTTTTTCATTTTCAAAATGTTAACCTCATTTTTTACAGGCTTACTCATATATACTTGTGCACTAGGGAGTAACGTGGAAATGCCATTTTTTTATGAATTTTTCTACACACTCAAAAGATACAGAATAAAGATTAGGCCTATACATTATAAATAATAACACCCATGTTTTTCATATGTATAGCCTACCTATACATTGGCTACTTTATTGGGTTATTAACAATTTAAAAATTGATTCTTAATGCAAAAAGATATTTGTTGAAAAGTGTTAGCAAAAGCTTTTTGTTGTTAAACTGTATAACGGTTTTCATTATAACAATTTTCAGATGAATTGATCGTTCACATAATTCTATACTTTTTGTTTGATAAGGATTCTCCCACTTTTTTTTCAAGGCATCTGCGCTTTCATATTGAATTACGGTGGCAGATACTAAAAACCGTGCCTTCCAGTGAATCGACACTTTCATTGGAAAAATTCTTACCTAGGGTAGAAAGAAATGTGGCAACTATTTAACATTTGTATAAAAAAAGTTTTGCTGGATACCAATTTTTTTGAAGTAGGCTAAATAAATTTGTTATCCTTGAAACAATTAAACAAAATGTCGACAAAAAAAAAAATCCTTGACAAAACGTTTTCTAATGCACAGCTATCAATCTTTTCATATAATTAATGTTGGTATTTTTAACTGTTAAGTTGCTATGAATGATAAATTGTTACTAATTTACAAAATGCTATGTTTAAACATAATTTTGGTCTAAATTTTAAGACACAGACATCTAAATGATAATCAAATTAATTATGTAACATACAAGAGACAAGGTTTTAAGGATTTTTTGTTGGAATAGTAGACCTACTTATGGGAAAGAATCCAACTTGGTAAGAAACTGGAAAAACTGTGCACTATACCACACAATAATTAGAATATCTTTATTGTCACTGGCAGTATTTTCAACCAGGGCCAATTTCATCCATAAAAGTTAGCTTTTCAATTCCTAAACTCCTTCCCCTGAATATACAGTACATCTTCCTTTTCAACTCTAACCTACCTTGGTAGGAACTATTGTCAGTGACAGTTGTGAAATATCCAACTACTAGGCCATGCTGGTAAGGAACTTTTTGGAAAGGGTTAAAAGGCAGCTAGTCTCCTTCAGTCCAAGGGCTAGAAACACAGTAACAAGTCATAGAACATAACATAATGTTTTAGAAAGGACTTGAGAGAGTTAATTGAAGAGTAGATTTTCTTCTGTGTGTATTAGCCACTAGGCCTATCTAAGGTAAGCTAGCTGAAGTTTATCCCTTTTCCAAAAAGGTGCAAAGTGCTAAGGTTTTCCCTTGCGCCAGGGTGAATATTTCCCAGCCAAGCCTGCTGTCCCAACAAAAATCCTGACAAATCGAACCAGTTACAGTCACAGATAAGATAATCTAACACACCTATGGTGGGTTTTAATGAACCAGCTTGCTATATTGGTTGTTGGGACGTTGCAGGGACGTTTCGCCGCAAATCCATTCTGCTTGCACTAAACTTCAATCACCACCAACATCATTGTTGAGCCTCCAACCAACTTGAGCGTCTTCCCAACCACAACTTTCTTAAGCTAAGCCCCAACCAACAACCAACAACCAACCCTGCCCACCGCCCAACCAACTCAACCAACACACACTCTGGTATTCTTCTTGTAATATATAGCCCGCTTATTGTACTTGACTTCAGTAGTAAGTATCAATGAGCCCGCTTAGCTCCTTGAATTTATATTTGGACTTGTATCTCCGTTTTTTATGATAGGAGGGGAGGGGGTTGTTCCTTGAAATTTTTGTTATGAGTGTGATAAATTTAAGGGGCTAACTAATTTTTGGGGATTACTGATATGTTCATCCTCAAAATAAATTAGTGATTGTAAGTGTGTTGAATTATTTTATGTTTTATTGTCCTTTTATGCCGACGTCTTTCAACCCATTGAGCGTTAAAGTTTCTAGTTTGGTTTGGATCAATTTAGATATTTTAATAGTCTGTTTATGATTTCGGTAACAACTTTTTGTAAACTGTAAATAGTTTCTTTACTTTATGCTCTTTTTTTTTGTTTAGAGAGTAAAACCTAATTTAAAGTATAAGTTTTAAATCTTTCCAATTTACAAATTAGTAAGGATTAAAATCTTTTTCATACCTAAAATGTTAAAATAATATTCAACTGTGTTAGTTAGTTAATTGATTTAAAAAATAAAAAAAAAATACTTTTTATTTCTGAAGAGTTTACTAACCATAGAAAGAAACAGCAGTGATCCTAGTGTTTGAAAGTACAGTATGAGATTTTAGGAAAATACTTCTAACCCCAAAATGATGCTATCTTATTCCAACCTAAGCTATTTAGCAAATAGTTAAAAAAATTTAAACTGATAAGTAGGGTTCATTAACAAACTTACCTCTTAAGTTATTTTTTAAAATTAAAAACAATACAAGTACTTTAATATATAAAAACAAAAAATCAAATAGTATAAACCTAATGGCTTGATGGATAAGTTGTGCTTGACAATTCTGACCAAATACTTAATATAATTATAAACTTTTAGGATAGGTAAATATTTTACTGTGTTTTGAAACTTAACAATCATGTACCGGTACGCTATGAAATTATTTATCAATGTAATTAAGTAACAAAATATTAATTTGAAAAAAACTAGAGTAGTGTTTTATGGGTTTATTTTTTTCTTTTCAAATGCAAACGCCCTTGCAAAAAATACCCTACATATAACAAAAATAGCCTACATTTCTAAACAAAAATAGATTTTTAAACACTAAACAAAATAGCACCTAAAAAGAATTAAGACATATTTTTATTCGCAGGATGGGTTGAAAGTACTTTTAAATTGTTGCATTTCCCAAACAAATTAGTAAAACTTTCTAAAAAAATACAAATTTTCTGCTAGTTTGTGTCTTTTAGCTTTCAGAATTAACATTCTTGCATTTACCTGTTTGGAGTAACAGAAGTTTGTGTGTTGTGTACCACCCTGTATGGAAATGCTAATTGATTTTATTTCCTTAGGTCTCCACGCCGACGGTCTGTCTCGAGGTCTCGCTCTCGTAGCCCACCTCCACGCCGATCTCGCTCCTACTCTCGGGACCGACGATAATAAGGTAAGTTCTTAACCCAGGTTTAAAAATCTAAACCGCCTAAATTTTGTGAACGGAGTATAATTTATCTGTTGCAATTTAAATGAAAATAAAAACTTTGTAGATGAATTTAAGCTATACAATTGATGTTTGAAATTGATTTAAAATTCAAACAACGTTCATTAAATCATTACTGAATCCCTAATACCATTGACTTGAGATGCCAATTTAGGACAGTTTTCTAAAGCCTATAACTGTTACAGATTAATATGTGGGCTATCGTAACACTGCCACGCTCATAATATTGTAACAGTGGTTTAAATAACATATTCTCATTCCTGAGACATATTGAGTGGTAAAATGTTCCAAGGTCAATCAATAATTTGTTATATTGTTTCTTGAGTCAAAATTATTCAACATTCAGAAAATAATTGAGATGAAATTACCATATTGTTGTTTATTTTTGATTCAATCTTAAATTAGAGTTGTTAATAAATCATATTACACAATTTTGTAAGGTAAGGGTTTGATTTGTATAGCTTAAGTTGTCCGAGTAGTATTGTATAATAACTATCTTTGTTACATGATATTTCTCTGTTTAGGTAATACTTGTGTTGTTCTTCATACATTCACACAACGTCCAGTGGAAGATTTCAAACTAGATATAGACCATATTTGTACATTATCTTTCATTTTATGTCAGTACAGATCACAGAAGCAACAGTGTTGATAATGTTTGCAAAAACGAGTATAATTTATCAATTAAGTGTATAATTGTCCTAATAAAGTTTGTTTAGCCATATCATTTTTTTATATAATTGTTTTAGTGATTTTAATGACTTATGCAAATAAATAATGTGCATAAATAATATTGTCTTTAATGTGTTACTTTCCTCTTCATTTTTTAATTGCCCTAGGTACCTTTTATCATGGGAAATCTCAGATTTATCTTCAAAAATGTTGAACAGTTTGTTATGAAGCATGAAAGCAAATATAGAGAATAATGAGTTTTTTTAACCTCCGAGTGTCCCTTGTTTTGGCCTTAATGTCTGCCTATTTTTTGCTCATTTGCAAGGTTTTATTAAAACAGATCTGAGAAGCTTAAAAACAATGTTAATTATACTGTTCTATATACCATTTTGTTTGGAAAATCATGGGCTTCAATATTATACATAGAACATAAGGAACATTTGTTTCAAAAAAAAAATTTAAGGTACAAAAAATATTTTGGAAAATTAAAAAAAAAAATAATAAGTTCGCGCTCAATGAAGTTGTATAAATTATAGGCCTATAAATATTTGAAAATAGCCACTTTGTTCTAAATTTTATGAGGATTACAAATATATAATAATATAAGGAAGTAGATTTGCAAATAAATAAGTTATGGGCAAAAAACAGATTTCAGTACATAGCGTTTAGCTAAGAATGCATAGCCTAACCATAGCTAGGAATCTGGCTGATAATTTACATCAATATCACTACCTACTTCTTCAGGATCATCAACCAGCCCTTCAAAATCACTTAAATCTTCTTATAATGCACTTTAATACTAAAACAATGATAAACGTAATAAAACACATCAGTCATCGGTCCGAGGTTAACCAAGCTGTTTACAAATACGCACGTCAGCTGTCTGCTACAATATTTTCGGAACTAAAATGAAAAGCGCTTAGAGACAGACCTCCGGAGAAAGCTCTGAATCTGTCAAATAAAACGATACCTAACTCGATCCAGTTCAATCCGATTTTGTCAGTCATAGAGCCTTCGCCGTAAACAGTGTTTGTGAGTCGATGCATCGACACAAAACACTACACAAAGTGTGTTATGTGTCGACGCATCGACAAATAACACTCGGAGGGTTAAGAACTAGAACATAATGATAATGGTATGACCCTAGTCCCATTAAACTGTGTAGTTGTGAGAGGTTAGAATTAGTGGGTGTAAACTATTTTTGCACAGGGTAACCATGGTGACAAGCCTCTAATGTGTTTGGAAGGGACCCACCTTCTCAGATGGAACATACAGCAGCACCGTCTGGAATACCTTATTGTTACACTCTTGATAAAAAACACTCCCCGATTTTATCCTTTTAAGTTTTAAAGTTTGTGTGGATTTCATTATTCAGATTCAACCTGTCAAACTTACATATGGTTGGTATGTTAAATTAAATTGTTAATACTTGATTTTAAATAGTAATTTTCTAAACAGATTAGTCTACATTCAACTTTTAAGTTTCCTAAACCTTTAGTTATAATCCATCTGCATGATAACATTCTAATCATGCACTTGGTCAATGTAATATCAACTTATTATCAGAGTACAACAAAAACGATTCACTTCCTCTCATTACTTTATTTGCTTGTACACAATTTCAGATTACGTTTCTATAACATTGTTTATTCCAACAATACCTGAACAGTTATTTTCCAATAACAGTTCTATGACTGACTCAGAATTATTATTTACCTTTCCAGTTGCGTTTTCACAGACATTACTCTCATTATTTTTTTCTCCTCGACAAACTTGAATTACACCGCAGATTTCCACATTTTTCTCAGCCTTATCATTTTTTCCGACCAGTTTGTCGGCTGCATCATTAGATTCTAGCATAGAAGTTGTAGATATTTCATCCACTATAAGTCTCACATTGCAGCACCGTTTCCACCATCGGTACCAAGGACCCACATGGTCTCTCGCCATTGAATACATTGTCGCAAGGTACCCGGAAATCAATATCAACAGGAAGAAATTCATAATTCCTTCACTCCAAATTCCTGATATGCCATGATTGTAACCTTCTTCCTTAAAGTGGTTAAGACCGAGTATACAGACGAAAGCTAAGGCCAAGGCCAACGACGTCAATATCAATCCGATGGCGAGATCACACAAAATAAACGCCAGGTTAGTCGGTTGTCTCAGCCACACTCGGACGGATTGCCAGCAAGAATATCTACGACTCATCTCCACGTTAAATTTGTGAGAGCAGAGTTCACAAGTGTCTCGGGAAGCGTAGTTGAGCCACCGTTCCAAACAGCGGAAATGAACGTAAGCCATTGAGCCTGTGGATGTAAATATCTGTAAATGAAACTATTCATACGATGAAACAACACTTATTTGTTAGTTCACAGAATGAGATTGGGGCCCAAATTAAACTTAAGTATTTAAAAATAGCTAATCAATTGCCAAGTGTCATTTTCAAATCCCCTTAAAAGTATTTTACCCCTAATCACATGTTATTACAAACCTCGATAAGAAGTCAACCTTGATAACAAGTCTTATTTTACATTCCCCATGAGAGTCTTGTTATCAAGGTTCTACTGTATTTATAAATGAATAGAACAAAATTCAGTTAAGTTCCTGATTTTTGTTACGGTATAGACGATTCCTTCCACACTTTGAACCCAGTGGATACTTGAGGGTTCTTAAAGCAAATTGTTTGCTAAGCCCAAAGCTGTATCTTACGTGCTAGGCCTATAATTGTTATTGATTATCTTTGAGTAGTAGTCATTTTGTACGTTCTAGGACAGAGGAGGGAGGAGTGTAGACCACGTGGGTTGAGGTAGGTAACCTCACTTTGCCTAACCTAACCTAACCTTACAGGCAGAGACTGATCCTCTGATTTGGACGACTTTACAGAAACGACAACAGCTTTTGAATCTCATTTTATATAGGACCACCAATAGGTTCTCAACTGCACAAAAATGGCGCCGATTGCATCATTCGGTGCTCATGTTTTCACTAGAGGATTTGTATGAAGATGCAGTATTTCGATCTCAATGTATACTGACACGCCATTTGAAACTCACGTTCTAGGACAGAGGAGGGAGGAGTGTAGACCACGTGGGTTGAGGTAGGTCGGGAAGGGAGGTGTGTCCATGACGTCACATGTAAACAGAGGATGATCTTACAGACAGAGACTGATCCTCTGATTTGGATGACAATTTTTTTTTGTGTAGATATAAAGAACGTTAAATCAGTTCTCATTTGGTATACTTGTCGTATAATAGGATCTCACGGCTGAGATCGAAAACGACAATAGCTTTTGAATCTCATTTTATATAGGACCACCAATAGGTTCTCAACTGCACAAAAATGGCGTCGATTGCATCATTCGGTGCTCATGTTTTCACTAGAGGATTTGTATGAAGATGTAGTATTTCGATCTCAATGTATACTGACACGCCATTTGAAACTCATTGTTTTCATGTTGATTTTTACGTGTCTTCTGAGTGACTCAGCACGTGGTTCCGACCACGCCAATCCTTCGGAGGCGAAAAAATATTTTTTTGTGTTTTTCAGTTATTTTGCGTATTTTATTTCTGTTATATTAGTTTATTGTTGTAAACTCGATCTGACCATGGCTTTTGGGTATCAAAGCAAGTTTTTCATTGACACCGTTGTTGTAGTTTCTAATCATGACGTCTGTCAAAACGTTGTTGTACCTGCATGGGAGATACAATTTTCTTAGATTGCCACAAGGGTCTTCTTCGACAGTAGCAGTTACCGAGGGACCGTATCTCGTCACGACTCGCTGCAACTCCACTATTCTGTAGGGATGCTCATGTCGCAGCTCTTCGATTTTAGTGTATTTGGGTGCTTGGCACGCGTTAAGTAAATCTACCAATTGTGCCATGTCTCTCACTTATATAAATGTGCAGTTACATCACCTTGATTATGTTCCTTGATATGTCGTAGGAAAACGCGTTTTCAGAGACTACGATGACATATGCGGTAGTGCCTGAATCGGCCGATGGTGATGCGATTGCGTTTGTGAAATCGAATTCTATTTGAATGTCACTTCTAGAACGGTCTGTATTCATCGGATGAAGATGTGTGTCGACAACACACAGTGGGTAGTGTGAAATAAACTCGCTTGGGTCAATGATCATTGAGCTGTCATCGAAATTCACCTTACGATATCTCATGAATTGCTCGTAAATCACTCTCCAACGTCCCTCGAGGATTGCAGCGTTTTGTAGTTCTTGAGGGTAACGTTGACCATTTATTTTAACTGCAAAGTGTTTTATATTTTCGCTGTCAAATTGCGCCGGGTTCTTTTTCTGATCATTCGTGCGGTTAGTTTGAAAGCACATGATTACGAATCTAGGGTTGTATACGTTTCTATAAACGTTTGTAATGTCGAATGTGTACGTAGATCCGAACACACCCTTTTTGTCAATACATTGCCACTGATAATAGTTGTAGACCAACTCGTCTTTTTCACTAAGTTTTGTTAGACCATCGATTAGTTGGATTTTGCTAGTTGACGTATATTCCACTATGGGAACTCTGAGAACGAAGGAAGTGATTTTCACTTTGCCATCCTCAGGTTCGGTAGCTGCGGTACCGGTTCCTTTCCAATGGTATAGAGCGTCGTTATCTTCAGCTCTTGTGAATACAATCTCGAATCCGCCTTTGTACATGGGGTATCGCATGTGGTCAAAGAACCCTAACCCGAGATGCGCTAAGGTTCCAATCGCTTCGAACTTGCCACCACCAAGCGAGTATCTTGATGCGAACCCACAGTTTTGCAAAGCGGGTTTCATCGATTGAGGATAGTTTAGAATACTTTTGATAGTGCTTGTAATTCCCGGATGATCGACCACATCGATTGTTGTGTTGTGTTTTTTCAGTTCGATTCTTGTAAATAGGTATGGTATGAAATTGTCAATAAGGGCTATAGTGGCAGTCGCATCATATGCTTTACCATCGGATTTTTTTACTACCTCACCGCAGATGTGATATTGAATTGCCGAGTCGTAAAACGTGTCTCCGTGATCGAGTTTGAAGATTGTGTAATTGTTTGGTGTGTTGAAATTCAACTCGGATATCGGCATAACAGCTCGGTACTCGCTTTTAACCACTCCGGTGGAGAAACGTTCGTACAGTGCTTCCATTGTCTACAATGACTTAATAACACAGAAGAACAAAAAAAATATAAGCTAATTATTTTTATTTATTTTTTTAACTACATGTTATATATAGACTTACTCATCGAACTCCTCTTCCATGTAAGCTTTGTGATCATCCAAAAACTGTTGTGAAACGATCTGGAATTTTTTAATGTATTCCCAATCGACTTTGTTTGCGTAGTCGTGTATGAACGACTCGGAAAGTATTTGGTGCTTGCTGACAGCAAACCACGCATGCTCAAAGTTTGGTGCCATCTCACGAAGGAAGCTCTCACTGAATTTTTGCCTCTTCAGAATAGGACCCCAGTCAACACGATGAAAGTAAATACGTAGCATATCGATGGAGAAATCATAGTGAACTGACAACAGGTCCCAGTTGAGGTACCTATCGAACTTCATAACGAGCTCGTCGGTGAGTACACCGTTCGGTGCCTTCGGTTCGCGGGACAAGATTCGCCAAGCGTTGTCCATGCTGTTCACTTATATATACCCATTTTTTCTACAGGGATATGAACACGCGGATGTACCTAAACCCATCCCTAGTTTACGTTTCAACCACATCGCACCTGTGGTCGCGAGGGCTACGCTCCTCTCGTTAAGGTCCGCGTCGCTAGACGTCACTCTATCCCACGCCGCTTTCTGTAACGCTTTATCTGCGACCCATCTGTCTTCGGGCTTCCGGTGGTCTCTGTACCATATGTCGTGCTGTTTACACGCATCGTCTAAAGGATTCACACCCTTGTCACCACGACCTAATCGTTCAGCGAGCTTCGTGCCTGGACCGCAGAAGTTGTACGTATCGAATTTCCAGTTACGCGGGGCGTGTAGTTCTACAGGTAATTTGTTGATGATGTCGTTCAACAATCCCGAGCCTTCTATCGCGCGTTCAGGCAAGGCTGACAAACATCGTACTACGTATTTGACCCCGTTCGGTTGGTCAATCAGTTCTTGCATACGGTCGGATATGAATTTAACAACAGATAGTTTTTCGTTGTGAAAATTGTTGTTGCCTGCAACCTCCTCTGCGTAAATAAAATTCAGACGGTTGATGAGCTCGTTGAGGTCTTTGATGTAGCGATATTCAACCGGACCGTCATGGTAGCGTTTTAAACCGGATCCCGTCAATAGATCCCTCTCCATATCTTGTTCAATCGGATCGGTCGGTTTGATAACTTCGTCCCAAATAGGTTTTATCATTTTCCGCCATTTTTGTCCTGAACTAGATTTTGGACGTCGTGTAGTAGGATCATTTTTCTGGAAGATAGAGTTTGTCATCAAAAGCATATCTTTATATGTCTGCCAATCGTTTGATGTGTATTCATTAGACTGCACAAACCCTTTCTTCGTTAAAAGTTTCCAAAGTCCTTCAGTACCTTTAAATCGTTTGTTGTTTACAATAATATCATCATAATCAAACCCAATCGGTTCAGAACCGATTTTTAGTTGCTCATCTATCTCATCGAAATAAATGCCGAATTGAGAGTCACTAGCTCGTGGTAGATATTTAGCTCCGACCACTCCGAGATTAACGACCTTGGTATCCATCAACTGTTTTATTGATTGATCCGCAACTACTTCCATTTTTTCATCTTCATCATCATCGTATTGAGTGGAACCGATATAACCAACTCGGTCTGGTGTACTAGAGACTGATGGTCTAAAGTTGCGTTTCATTAGCTGGTTGTATTTTTGTTTTTTCAGCATTTCTTTTGTTTTTTTCTCCAGTACCTCATCCTTTTCTTTTTTCTCTTTAATCGCTTTGGTGATAGCCTCGTACTTTTTCTCCCTTACACGTTGTTCCTCCATTTCCCTAACATGTATTTCTCCGAACTGGTTTTGCAGAGTGGTTTGCAGTTGCTCCAGTTGTCTAGCTTTTTCAACTGTCAGAGGTTCATCTCGCGTTTTACTTGTTACTCGTGTTGGGGGTTTTGTGATGTCTTGTATTGCATGTGTATTGGGATGGGAGTTTGTAATCTCCTCTAGTTTCTTAGCTCGTTCTTTCTTTTCCTCCTGTTCCGCTGTCCGAAATTTTTTGACGAGATTCTTTTCTAGAATCTCAAGTCGCTTAGCTTCTTTTGCATCCATTGTGCACTTAGTAACACATAAACACAACGTAAGATTCACATCGTTATTCCAACATGTACATG